CCTCTCTCTCTCTCTCTCTCTCTCTCTCTCTCTCTCTCTCTCTCTCTCTCTCTCCTTTCCAGCCACCATCAAGTAAAACACCACCCAGTGCTTCTACCATTTTGCACCTCCTTGCCACAGTCTCCCAAAGCAATAGAGCCAAATCACCATGGGCTGAGTATTCTGAAACTAAACCAAAACAAAAATTTCTTCCTTGTAAGTTGGTTTTCTTAGATGTTTTGTCATAGCAACAGAAAGGTGAATAATATAGATCCACATCATCTCTTACATAAACTACAACTCCTCAGAGGGTCCCCTATAGGCCTTTTAGGGTCTAATCTGTTTTAGAACCCTATCTGTTATTGCTCTTCCTTAACCCCAGTCTTAAACATTCCACCCCCATCCAGCTGACTCTCAACTGGGCTATCCCCCAGCTCCAGGCTTTTACTCAAGCTACCCTCTCCACTGTGATGCTCTTCTACTCACTGATCACCTGGGGACACTCTTATCCTTCAAGATATACTGCAAGCCTCAACTCATCAACTCTTCTAGGAATCTTTTCACAATCCACCCCACCAGCCAGAGGAAACTGGCCACTTCCTCCCACCTGTACCTCTGCTGGATCCAACACAAACCTGGTCAGCAGCACTCTGGGAGAAATCTACTCCTCCCATCATGAGCAGCCTGAAGGTCAGGTCTACTTGTGTTTCTTTCCCCAGGATAAGGCCTAATATAAAGTAGCTTCTCAATAAATATCTGTTCCTGAAAACTTTGAGTTAATAGCCTCTCAATAGCTCCAAGTCCTAGACCCAAGGGGCTGCAGTGGGCTCCACAGGCTGTACCCTGATATGGGTAGCAATGACTCTGACCTCTTTCTCATTGCTCTAATACCCCCTCACAGTCTTCCTCCCTCTGCTTCTCTAACTTAACTCTCACAGTGAGAGTCTCAGAGTCAACAGCAGTGTGTGAGAAAGCAGAGAAGATTAAAAAGGAAATTACAATCTTAAAGGTGACAGCCCTGAAATATTTGAAAACTTCCCAAGGATTCACCTTCACAGACTTGGCAAAGTAGATGCAGACACATATTCAAATTCAATACAAATTTCCCACTTTCTCACTCATTACTAGTACATTGTGAGTCCTTGGAAGTACTTGGATAGAAGAACCTACCTCTTCTTCCCAGGTTCCCCTTTGGCACCTATCGCATAGTCCCATGGAGTGAGGGAACAACAAAGTAGAGCTCCCAGGGGGAACTTCTTGATGTCCCACTCAGTAGTGGATCTTCTGGAGATAAGCCCATGAGAAGCGAGCTTCCTGCAGGAAGGAGATGTGCCTGTGTGTGCTCTGTAAGGAAAGTGGAGAACTGGGAGTGCAGACTGATGGTTTCCTCTGAACCTTGTCATCCTGGGTACTCAGCATTCGCTACACGGAGCAGAAATGACAGTATATGTCTCACAGGACAGAGCACAGGCTGATAGTATCTGGACTCAAAGAGATGAGGAGGCTAAAAGAGGGGGAAGTGACAGCTGAGAAATTTCAAGTTTACTTTCAGCTCTTCCTGAGATCTCTGAAGACTTCAAAGGAGCCTAGATACCACCAAGGTGGGGGGAGTTAATCTTAGCCTTAATCCCAAGTAGAGAGAGATGACAGTTTTCTAGAAGGTTCTTTCTGTCCTGAAGGCCATGTGTCCCACAGCCATAGGCCTCATATTTGGAAAAAGGTAGTTAGGAGATCTCTTGGCTTTGGCACAGAGCTCAAATTGAGAGGGGGCAATCATGGCTGAAAGCACAGCGGGCATGTTGCAATTTTGTGAAGACCTAGCACGACCGGTCAGTCATCCAGATTCATGGAGAAACCAGCTATGACCCCAGTGACTCAGTCAAAAGGCAAGAACTGGGCTCACTTTTGTCCTCTACACTCCAAATCACCTTCACTGTTAGGTTGTTTCAGCACCCGGGACAGCTCCCTCCCTGGGTCGGAGGATGCCCTTGGAAAAAGAGCCAAACTGGACCGCAGAGACTTTTCACTAAGAATGTAGGTGACTGGAAAAGTGCATCTGTGCTCACCTGAATTCCTTTCTTTTAGCCAAAGCACCACTCAGCTACAACATCCCTTCCCCAGCATTTTTTAATATGCAAGGAGAAGGCATTTGTCAAAGCAGAGCGGAAGACTTGCATGCAAAGAAAGACTCCCTTCAAGGACTCAAAACATGAGCTAAAAATAACTTCTCTTCCACTTGCAATGAGCCACATTTCTCCTGGGGCTTTGCCAACTTCCGGTATTGTCATTCACTCTCTCTAGGTAAGTAGAGAAAGAATTGAGTAGGAAAGAGAACCAGAGAAAATTAGAGGATGTGTATAACTGAAAATCCACCCACAATACAGAGTTACCAATTCAGAGCAAATCGTATAAGAACAGAATTACGATGGGTGGAACTGTATTCCATTACAACAGATACAAATTAATTTTTTCTGTGGGCATACTCAATTTAGGGAAATATATCAAATATAAATAACAGCTCAAGTGATAAACTGATTTTGATGGATCAGGAAGCTTGAACACTGAAATTCACAAACAACTTTCGACACCTTATTGAGCGGCTAGGGATGAATAACTTAATGTCTCTGAGCCTCAGTTTCTTTATCTGTAAAACAAGAATGATAACTGCTCCATCCACTTCTGAGTGAACAAAATGACTTTGGCTCTGAGTACCTAGGGGGGCTGTCACATGACTTTTGAGCCTGGATCTAAGCCACTACCAAAAATAATCAAGGCTGAAACTCTTATTAATAATGTTCAGTGGCCTACTTGGTGGTGTGTCCCCAATGGCTTAAATTAATTAGCTTCTTGAATTCTTTTTTGGAATATCTTTAATCTATATCATTGAATACAACAGAGGACAAAAATTCAAATGCCTACAAGACTAAGTGGTTCCATAAGTGAGTGAAGATGGCAAGGTGTGAACAAGAGGTGGGAGTGAAGGCTGTGCCCATGCCCAGCCTGAGGGTGAAGTGGCCACTGAGTTCTAGCAGCAGGCTGTCATGGGGGACTAAGACTCAACATGAATAAGAACTCCAATATTGTAGCAGAAACCAGGAGTGTTGATTGACTTATATGAAATCTCCAGTGAGTTGCTTTCTTTTGGGGGGTTGTGTTGTGTTATCTTGTGTCTTTTTAACAACTACAAGTTAAAATTTTGTGAGAGCCAAAATATTGCATCAGCAAGCTAGATTTCACCCACAACCCACCTACCTCTGTCTAGTAATAATGCATTCTTCATGCTTTGATTTATTTTTGAAAGCTTACTGGTCATGTTGGTTTTAGGCCCAAAATAAAAAATAATAGTTTACAGAGCCCTCTCCCCATAGACTGGGGTCTCTCCTGTCCCTGGCACCTGTGCATCTGATCACATGGGTGGCAGTGGCATCTCTAAGTTCCGGGCCAAAGTCTGTGGTAAGCTGCACTGTTCTTGTGCCTCACTCTGTCCAGCCGGCTCTGCCAAATCACACAGCCCTTCCAGCAAAGTTCTTGGGTGATGAAGGAGAACACTGGGATATAATTTACATGTTGTCCTGAGGTAAAATTGGATGATTCTGTCAATTCTTGTTTCCTGAATTTTACAAGTTGTGCAAATTAAGTGTAGTGTATACTATTGTTGCTTGCCTTGTTCTGTGACAAGAAAGGTAGAATTGTTGGACCTCAATATGCCACTGGGGACAAAAAGTATTAATTGAAGCCACAGGCACTGGTTGTCCCCACTGCCCCCACATACATACAATCAATGCATTCTGTCTGCAGTCTGTTACCACCAGTAAACCTTCTTTCCATGGATGGACCCTTTTAGTTTCTCTTTTTTCTGGACTGGTTACTGAATTCTATCCACAAACTCAACCTCAACCTCATCAGCATCTCTGAAGAGGCAGACAGGTCCATTTAGGTGAATTTTATATCCAGGGAAATGTTTACCAATCAAAGGATAATAAGAAGGCTACAGGTTGGATTTCTAGATTGTTTTTACTCCCTTCTTGACCAGCAACAGCAATAAATCATCTCTATAAATGAAAGAAAAAAGACATATCAGACCGCTAACACAAGTTCAAATGCCTGGGTGCCAAACGACCAAGTCAGGTCCACATTCCAAGTTAGTGAGCATCTTCAGGGCAACATCAAATATCTGCCTTGGGCAGCCATGTCCTCAGTTGCCAACACAGTCCAGTCTCTTCCTTTAGTGGACCCGGGGTGAAATTAATGTAGAAGTGAGTGACTCGGAGGAGTGATGAGAGAGCTTCTAGGAGCACCATCTCTAACCTGCCTGTCTCTGTAGATTAAGAATGATTTTAGGGTTGCATTTGAACAATGAAAGAAGGAATACATTTAGATAAACTTTTATGAAGTTCATTTTTATTTAATATGACATCCTTTACATATGTTCATACAAACACATGCTGAAGTTGCTGGGACACAGTGTCCTCACCTGCTGTTGGGACCAAGTGAATTGTCGTGTCCTCCATGTCACTAGGGACACTTGCTCATCTTCCAAGCACATGGCAGGACTGTGTTATTCTGCCCTTACCAATGGAGTTGAACAATCAAATAGGAAGGTGTTGTCTCTGGGCAGAGAGTCTGAGAACCGATGTGTGATTCAGCACATTCCTTTCTACAGTCCTTGTGTTACAGTGACCATAACTGCTCCAGACTGTGGCTGAGTTGTCATCCTGGGTCTGACAGGACAATGCAGACAGAGTCCCCCAAATCTGTGATGGACCTAGAGCAATAACAGGACAAACCTTTGTTATTTGAAACTAGAGAGATCTAGGGTTGTTTATTACCCCAGGAGCAGATCTAGGCTGACTGATGGAAAGACATATTTGGCAATATCTATCAGTATTTAAAATGTTAATACTTTGACTGTAAACACTGGCTAGTAGAAGGGGAGACAATAAGAAAAGAAGGAATGGTGCTCAAAGGATACAAAATTCTAGTTATACATCAGGAATAAATCGTAGTGATACATACCATAGCAAGTAAATAATAATATATTGTATATTTCAGAATTGCTGAAAGTTCTAAACATAAATGTTCTAAATACAAAAAAATATGTAAGCAAGGTGATGAACACATTAACAGTTTTTAAATCTACTTCATCCACTTATGAATCCATGTCTCCATCCGTCTATCCATAGCCCTCCTTCCTTTTCACTCTGTCTCCATCCCTCCACTACAGACAGTATGGGAAAAACTGGATAGGTTACCCAAAAAGCGAGTTCTATTCCGTGTTGGCTGCCTATGAAGGCTGGCTAAAGGGACTGACCTGGAGACAGAGAGCTATACAGTACAAGAAGAAAAGGCGTGCATGATTTGTAGCCTTTTAGAGCTGGGATGCAGCCATGCTTCCTCAAAAAGAGAAACTCGGGACCTTAAGCAAGTTTCTTAAACTTTCTGAGTCTTGAAATTCTCAGCTGTAAAACAGACCGAACTGGCTAGTTTAATTTAAGTGCTCTTATAGCCCAGGATCGATATCAATCCTTGTTCTGAAACAAAAACATGACCCTTATAGAAACTGAAAAATTTGCTTCCACCTACACCAGATACTTTAGGACTGTGCTTCTCTAAGGGCAGTCTCTCCCAGAGACCACAGGAGGGAAATAAATCCTTGGCTGTGTCCCTGTTTGTCGCATGGCCTGTGTGCATCCCTTGCATGGATCTCAGCTCCTGCCAAGTGCCCTCTCCATAAAACTTCCCTACATCTACTCCAGGGGGAGGTGGTGACTATGGAAAACACTGCTGTTCCTAGGCACCTAACCTAGCTTTTGTGGTCTACCCATACCTGGGACTCACAATGTAGACAAGAATGGCAGAGGAGAGGACCGATGTAATTTAGCAAATGGAAACTACTTAATTCCCTTATTCTGCCTATCGAGATCAGTTTTCAACTTTGTTATCTACTGTCCTTATTATCACCCACCACCAGAATATAATCTTGGAATAAATGAAAGTCCCCAACTGTCCCCAACAGTTTTGGCACCAGGGGACCAGTTTCATGGAAGACAATTTTTCCACAGAGAGGGTGGGGGGGCTGTTTTCAGGAAGATTCAAGCACATTACATACACTTCCTTTCTATGATAGTGACATTAGATTTCCATAAGGAGTTAGCAACCTAGATCTCGCGTGTGCATAGCACACAGTAGGATTCATCCTGCTATGGGAATCTAACGCCTCTGCTGATCTGACAAGAGGCAGAGCTCAAGTGAGTTCAAGTCAGAGGAGCAGCTGTAAATACTGTACAGATGAAGCTTCTCTCGACAGTACTCTGCTCTCCTCCTGCTGTGCAGCCCAATTCCTAACAAGCCATGGGCCTGTACATGTTTGTCACTGGGGTTTGGTACACCAGTTTTACAGCAAATTTAGCTCTAAGAATTGTTATGATTTGGATCTGGACAGGCCCCAAGAGCCTCATGTGCTCAGAGGCAGAGCTGGTGAGAGGTGACTGCATTTTGGGGTTCCGCAGCCAGCTTACTGTTAGGAGGTGCACTCCTGAGGGCGTGACCTGGAAGGGTGTGTCGCGCTCTCCAGCTCTTCTTTCTGCTTCTCTGCTGCCATGATGCAAGGAGCTTTCCTTCACCATCCCCCTCTGCTATGACATTTCTTCCCTGGAGCCAGCATGAACCAAAATAAACCTCTCCTCCTTCAAATTACAGGTATGGGGTACTTTGTCCCAGCAACTAGGAAAGTACCTAAGACACACATACAAGCAATGTCTGTTCTTGTGTTCCTTATTTGGAAAACACTGATCTCATTTAATCCTCATCTTCTACACACAAAGAAGCATTGTCTTTAAAATAAAGTTTAAAATATGTTCAATCCCCCTTAAGTGTTCACTGCCAGTCATTTGACTCCCCCCCCCACAAAAAAGACCCTGATTAACCCTAAGTCCTGTTGGACAACTGGGCTCAAACTACCCTTCATCCTATAGCAGTGGGGGAAAACATTAAAGTTCCCAGATTCCCTTCCCTGTAAATCATTTGATAATATTTTCTGCTTCTAGTGATTATTATGACAAGGAGCAAACTGGTAATCGTGGCCATCTAAGATTAGAACAATTTGTAGGATTCATGACCCAAAAAAAAGTTAAATTTAAGTAATGATACCAGTCGACAACCATTTGTGCATGCAAATAGTTCTATCTGCCTCAAGTGAGGGGAAAAAGAGGCAAAGGAGAACTAGAGAGGTAAAGGGTCTCAGTAAATTAGCACTAAGATGTTTTACATGTGCTACGGGCTTTCTCGTTCTGTATAGATAATAAGACAAGGGTACATGGGCCAAGGCTGGCCTTGGCAGTTTCCATGGAGCTATGATGTTTTACGTGACAGTTAGATGCTAAAGTCAGCACAGGGGGTAAAATTTACTGTCAAAATGAGCTTGGAAAACTTCTAACAAATGTTGGGATAGATTCTGTTTCTTCATTGAAGCCTGTGAATGTTGGTTTGTACTTAGAAGTCCCTTTATACAGAAAACACAAAGATTCAAGTATAAAAATCACCTGTGGCTCAGTCAGGGGCTCACACAATGAGTGAGCTGTTCTGAATCAGACAGGAGGGGATGGGAGGCTTTCATGTCAACCCTGCACACTGGGGGCAGGTGTCTGCTCACACTAAGTGAGGTCCCAAGTGGATTGTTCACTTTCTGCATCCTTTTTCTTTTCCTTCTCCCCCTATTTCTTTCTCCTATCCCCATCAACTGTGAAGTAAGTGCCCCACATGAAGCAACACTAAGTCTATTCAATGTCATAGAAAGGAGGATTTTTTTCTTCCCTGAAATCATCCTCTACAGAGAGTTGCTAGGATGAAAGATGCAAGTTAATCTGATCTAGGGCCCAAAAGAGCCTTCATCCTGTCCTCCCAAGGAACAGACCTCAACCAAGGAGGGAAGGAAGAGAAAGAAGAGGGCAAGAAGAGGACAGGGAGGAGGGATGAAAAGGAAAGAAGCCGCCACCTGCACCAGCAAAAGCCTGGCTGTTAGGTCTGCAGGTCGATGGTAACGTGTTCTCCACCTGGCCAGTCCAACCGCAGCTGTAGAACTTCAGAGGAAAAATTTAACCTACACTGTCCTTAAGAACTGAGCCCTGTAATGCAGTTGCATGTTTGAAACCTTGGGAAGCTTGCAGCTTTGGGCTTAATTATTTCCTGAAATAAATTCATCTTTGAAGATTAACCTGATAGGGCAAGAAAGCCAGAAGGCCCAATTTCAAGCCCAAATCTCATCCTGACCTACTACGTGGCCTTCTCCAAAACTGACTTGTTAGGCCACAACTCCTGCTCTACTATTCCCTTGATCCTGACTTCTCTTGACCTACTGAGCTCTGACCATTGCAAACCCTGCTGGAAGCTCTCGTCCAATAGTATCAATTTATTGCCCTGCCCTATCCTTCATCCAGGGTGTGCAGAGAAAAGTAAGAATGCCCAGAATACAGGCAAGAAGATAAACATCATGACCTGTTGGGGGAGACTTCAAGATCTCAGGTGCCTTCAAGAAGACCAGGAATTGGATCACTCCAAAATTCCTCAAAATTAATTCTTGGGAGAAGTATTTCAGCTGTCTGCACCAGAAGTCACAGTAACACAAAAACTGCCATAGGTGCTGTAAAGCCTCCTATGACTTGGAGGACCCTCAGGATTATACCCTCACCACCTTCTGTGCCTCACCTTGCCTCCTTCCCTCTTTCACCTTCGCTAAGCTTCCTGCAGAGACTCTGGGGCTTTTGTATCCAAGCTTGCACTGCTGAACTCCCGTGACTCCATCTTACCTCAGTGCCCACGTTCCACAGGTGCCCACAAGGTGCCAGGACCTAAATTAGGGGGCAGAAGGAAGCACCCTAACATGCATAGTGCTTATGGGCTTATCGGTCATCATTCCGACCTCCCAGATAGGCCTCTTGGCACTGTGTCCTAGCCATTCTCCCAGGGGCACCTGCTTGGCTCATAATGTAACCACCCTCAGGCTTTTCTCAAATATTTCCTCTATTAAAAAAGTAAATACCAGCCAGATGTCGTGGCACATGCCTACCCATAATCCCAGCATTCTGAGAAGCCGAGGCAGGAGGATTATAAATGTGAACCCAGTGACTTAGCAAGACCCTGTTGCAAAATTTTGAAAAACTTTAAAAATTTAAAAGGGCTATGGATGTGGCTCAAAATGAAGGCTCTGGGTTCAATCCCCAGTACAGGAATTAATTAACTAATATAAAATCCCACTCAGAGCTTTTCATCTCTTTTCCTTTTCTTATATTTCTAATTAAAATCTATCACCTAGATGATGTCAGCAACCAAGCTTCAACAGTAGGAACCTCCAAAAATTCTTTCTTCCATAAAGAGTGGGGAATCGAACAAAAATTATTAGAGTCAACTTTTTCAGAACTCTGAAAATCAACGAAAATGCACCAACCTGGGCATTTATTCATGAGCACTGGCAGAATCTCATTAACAAAAGAAAACTTCCTGGCACTTTAACTTGCTTTATTCCCACGTTCTCCTCTGCATTCAGCAGTAACTCCAAAGAATCACAGCCCCTCCCTCAGGGTAGCCTGGCAGACACAAGAGGAGAGAAAACAGAACCTGAGCCCTTTCAAAGCCTTGCTCCCCGAAATCCTCAGTATTTGATGTTTGAAGGTTTTGTGTTGGACCTGACTGGAAGCTTGCTCACTGTGAAAAGTCTTCTCCCCAGGGAATGCTTGTTGAAAACAATTTACAAGCAAATACTTTAACTTT